ATGTTCCCCTTCCCTGGACTCCTGCAGCTCCTTCCTATGTTCCCCTTCCCTGGACTCCTGCAGCTCCTTCCTATGTTCCCCTTCCCTGGACACCTGCGGGAGAACATTTTAAAACAAATTTGAGGAAGCACTTCTTTACACAGGGTGTAGTTAGAGTATGGAATAGTCTTCCTGCCAGTCTAGCAGAAGCTAAAACCCTAGGTTCCTTTAAATCAGAGCTAGATAAGATTTTAACAACTCTGAGCTATTAGTTAAGTTCTCCCCAAATGAGCTTGATGGGCCGAATGGCCCCCTCTCGTTTGTAAATTTCTTATGTTCTTATGCAGCTCCTTCCCAGATAAGGGAGCTGCATATGTGACCTGAGCAATTACCCGGGGTAGGTAGATGTCTGGGAACTGTGGCATCCTGCGGTCCCCAGCAGCTCCCTGTATTGTTTCTATCATGCAACACTGACCTTCTGAAGCAGTCTTATAATTTCCATGCTTCCAGGAGGACACAGCATTTGAGAAGATATAAAAGCTGCTGGACACATCCAGCAGTTGGATGAGCTTCTGAAAATTCCTAACCTGGAACAGCAACTGATGTTCCAAAACAGAGAGGGGTACAGCTTCATACTATTAAACACCAATCAGAGTGCTTTTTTGGTAGAGATAGATTACCTTACTGTTTCTAGGGTACCCTTTCATTACATTACAGTTGCGCTTGTTTAGCAGACACTTTTATCCAAAGTGACATACAATTGAGAAAACAGGGTCAGACAGTCCCTGAAGCAATTGTGGATAAGGGCCTTGCTCAAAGACCCAATAGTGAAATCACTATGCCGCTCCTGGGATTTGAACCGGTAGCCTTCCAATGACAGGCACAGCAGATGTAATCATATGAAAGATAAAGTGTTTACAGAATGATTGCTGTCCTATCATAGAAAATGTATTTGCATAGTTAGAGGTACATATGTGATATCTTGTTATAAGGTGCCTTTTCTGAGAAAATTTTGTCTCCTTGCAGTGTTAGTACAGTGGAACCTCAGTTCTTGAACTTAATCTGTTCCAGAAGGCTGTTTGAGAGCTGATCTGGTCGAAAATCAGATCATTTTTTCCCATAAGAAATAATGTAAATTGGATTATTCCGTCCCAGACCCCCAAATGATTGCCTATTTAAACCTGTATAAACACATAACTATTGCTAAAACCATAAATAAAAACTTTAAAACTCATAAATACTTCTCCAAAAATTCACCATTCGGTAGTGAGATTAGACACACGAGCACCTTTATAATACTTTGCAATTATTTTCTTTTTTAAGCTCAGTCGTGGGTCTCCCAGCGTTCCGTTTTGGTTTGCTGATTGCTATTACTAACCTTCTTAGGACACATGGTATCTTATAACAAAATAAAAGCAACAAAAGCTAAAAAAAAAAGCATGAGAATATTCACAGCACAATTCAGTGGAGATGTTCACTACGTGGGCATTATCGGTAGACTGACTCATGCACTCTTCGTTTATGCGTAAAAAGACACGTACTTTGTCAGACAGGTTTTATCATGAAAGGTTAGTTAGTCAAGAACCAAAAAATACATTCGACAATAAGACATTTTTTTTTGCCAAACGTTATGGTTGAGAACCGTATTGTATGAGATGTGAGATTTTCGAGAATAGATTTAAATGGGTGGAGTAGTTTGCTATGTCAGCACAATCCACCAGCTAATTCTTTAAAAGCATAGCACTCTTAAAGAGAACAGAGTAGCAACTTATTACTCCAACAAGTCGAGTATTAAATAAATCTGGCATTATCTACTGAAAGTCTCTTGCTATAATGTCAAAACTTTAGGCAGAAATTAAATTACTTTCAGGAACCAATCTGATCTTATAATCCTTGTACTTTGCCTATATTATTGTACAGATGGTGTACAATAAGAATGACTAAGTTATTGTGGGGTCAGTGTGAAATGCAGTCCTCTCACATGGGATGGACATTGGATATGGTGTTCTGTTCTCCTGGGCCACCAGCTTGATGCTGAGTACAGCCACTCCATAGATCAGGGTTATTCAACTCACGGTCCTCGAGGTCCGAGCACTGCTGGTTTTCCAGCCTTCCTTCACCTGTCAGTCAGGTGTGAAGCCTCTGACCAATCAGAATCAGTAATTATTAAACTAACTACTTGGGAGAACTGAAAACAAGGCCTGGATTTGGAATCGAGGTCCAGATTTGAAGAACCCTGATCTATGGCAGGGTTCTTCAACTCTGGACCTCGAATTACTGATTCTGATTGGTCAGAGGCTTCACACAGGTAAAGGAAGGCTGGAAAACCAGCAGTGCTCGGACCTCGAGGACCGTGATTTGAATAACCCTGCCATAGATGGACGTCTGGGGGATTTGTGTTTGAGAGGGTGAGGGTTGCGGGTAAGATGGGGGCAGATGTGTAAGATGGAGGAGGGGGGAGGAGGGGGAGAGAGTTTAGGTGCAGGAGCAGGAGAAGGTGAGAGAGGGGAAAATGGGGGGGGATAGAACGGGTGGGCGAATGAAGGTGAGGGGGAGTACAAGTGCGTGGATATGGGGATTATGTAATAAGTAAAGAATATATACAGTGTATGTGTGTGTGTATGTGTGTGTGTGTGGGGGGGGGGGGGGGGGGGAGTGGGCGAGTTCAGTGCGTGCCTGTTTGCCAGTGATGGTGTTCATTGCTTTGGATCTCATTAGTAAAATTTTTATTATTATTTTTTAAACTCCTGTCCCAGAGTTGTGGCAATATTGCAATAACTTATGATGGTGTGATTGTCTACCACAGAGCTGAAGCAGAACAGCAACTGTGACTGAAAAGTCCCTGATTCCAGAAGGCAGTACCTGAGTCCACTCAGTTTGCTTTTGCTACTCTTTCTGAACCTGCAGCTGTGTGTCCAAATGTCTTGATCCTGCAGGACTTGCTGATGAGAGTCGACAGTTGGCGACAGTTCAGCATAATATACCGTAGCAACTCCGTAGCTCTCTAGACCGTTATCCTTTTAAAAGTAGTTTGGAGACCACAGCCTTAAGTACAAGCTGGCAATGCTGCCTATGATCGTCACACTGTAATCAGGCGAGTGCGATGTGCACTCAAAGACAGCGCCCACTGCTGGCAGGAAAAGGAGGTTGTCAGCTCATCCTGGACCTTCTGCTTCCTGAACTCCACCTTAAGTCACCAAGCTGCACTCTGTGGTCTAAGGCTCAACTTCATACCTGTGTAGCATAGGTGTGCTTGCCTTACTGCCACTACGGGAAAAGAAACATTATTCATTCTGCAAATTAATGGTACTCCGGCAAATTTAATTTTACCTGCTTTAGACCTTGTTATATGTGTAGTATTCTAAACATTTCATATTTGTTGTCTTTGTGTGGTGACCCACGTAACCCAGTTATTTGGTGTCAGTCATCTTGTGCCTTTTGCGTGAAGATTCCATACCATTGCTATCGAGAGGAGTATGTGAGGTTAAGATTTCCTCCAAGTCATATGGACATGCTTTGGCTTTGTGATGTACCTGTTTATAGACCTTACATGCACAGTAGTACATAATTTCTTCCAATTTCTCTAAATTTGCTAATGCGCTCTGATTGTCAAAGATTGTAATTCACCAGGAGACCCAGGTTGCCTTTCCTAAACTGTGCTCCTCCTTCCAGATGTTGCTGAGCACGGTTCCACACCTGCGCAGATGTGTCGGAGAACCTATAGAGACTGCTTGAGAAGTGTGTGTGAAACCTGAAGATCCTGAGCATTGGGCTGTTCCGTACTGTGAAGCACTGAAGGCATTCTTCCTCCCTGCCTCCAGGGGGCAAAGGCTATTGGAACAATGCCGAGTCTCCTGCGCTCCAAGTTGGACCACGGTCAGGGACGGTCCTAATCGGCATCTCCCTGTCAAGATGGGGAGCTGGGAATGCTTGAGCCCAGCCGAGTTCAACCAGCTGCAGCAGTACAGCGAATGTGAGTTGTGGGTGAAACTGCTCTCTGCGTTGCTCTCTGTGCCATTCTCTAAACCATCATCGTACCGCTGTCCATGCCACTTTCCATACTGCTCATCTTCCAGCTCTCTATGCCGCTTTCTGTGCTATTCATCATACCGCTCTCCATGCCACTCCTTATTCTGCTCTCCATGCCACTCCTTATACTGTTCTCCATGCCGCTCCTTATACTGCTCTCCGTGCCGCTGACCATACCGCTCTCCTGACCGCTCCTTATACCGCTCTTCATGCCACTCCTTATTCTGCTCTCCATGCCGCTCCTTATACCGTTCTCCATGCCGCTCCTTATACTGCTTTCTGTGCCACTGACCATACCACTCTCTAGACCGCTCTTTATACCGTTCTCCATGCCGCTCCTTATACTGCTTTCTGTGCCACTGACCATACCACTCTCTAGACCGCTCCTTATACCGCTCTCTATGCCGCTCCTTATACCGCTCTCCATGCCGCTCCTTATGCCGCTCTCTATGCCGCTCGTTATACTGCTCTCTATGCCGCTCCTTATACTGCTCTCCCTGCCGCTCCTTATACTGCTCTCCCTGCCGCTCCTTATACCGCTCTCTATGCCGCTCCTTATACTGCTCTCCCTGCTGCTCCTTATACTGCTCTCCATTCTGCCCTCTGTGCCACTCATCGTACCGCTCTCCATGCCGCTCCTTAAACCGTTCTCCATGCAGCTCCTTATACTGCTTTCTGTGCCACTGACCATACCACTCTCTAGACCGCTCTTTATACCGCTCTCCATGCCGCTCCTTATACCGCTCTCCATGCCGCTCCTTATACCGCTCTCTATGCCGCTCCTTATACTGCTCTCTATGCCACTCCTTATACTGCTCTCCCTGCTGCTCCTTATACTGCTCTCCATTCTGCCCTCTGTGCCACTCATCGTACCGCTGTCCATGCTGCTCTCCATGTCAATCAACATACCACTCTCCATACCACTCATCATGTCATTCTCCATGCCATTTATGATACCGCTCACCGTACCGCTATACATTATGTTTTCCATGCCACTTCATACTACTCAGGAAATTATACTTTGCTCTAGTGTTACGCCTGATACCGCTACTAAAAAGATACCTGACTGGAATGCTCCAAGAAAGTCAGCGTGGGGTTCTTTGGTTTGTAGTTTTTGATCAAGGTCTCTGAAGATCAGTAACCATGAATGGGACCTCATTTCCTAGATTTTTTCCATGAATGTTATGCACTGCAGTTATTGTGCAGATATAGTGGATATAAAAAGTGTACACACCCCGTTCCAGTACAGCAAGTCAGAAAGCCATTTAACAATACCAGGGACCCATTTCAAAAAGCAAGATTTTTTGCTTACCTAGAGAAGTTGTCGAATTTAATTTACCCCAGTTTAAATGGCCTTCATCTTCGTTCAGTTATATTTAGCCCAGACTACCTTAAATCCAACAAGTCAATAAAAAAAAAAAACCTGCTTACTGAAACTGTCCCCAGTTCTAGCCTGGGTGATTGTTAGCCATTGGTAGCAATATCAGTTGATAACAACATATTATGCAGTATTTTGCACACAATTTAATGAGCCACAAATAAGAAATGTGCTAATAAGCAATATAAAACTACAGCTTTAACTTCTCTTGATAAAGGGTGCAGCCATCTTGGATTCTGAGCTTGGGGTTACATCGAGTCCTCCGACTTCGGAATTCTGATTTGAGTGGGTGTTCCAGTTTAAATTTCGGACTAGGAACTCAGAATTTATGAGTTACAAATTCAAATGGAACGCAGCATCAGTCCGAAGAAGGGTACAAAAAATTCCATGCCATTAGATATATCATGGAACACAGTGAAGACAGTCACCAAGAAGTGGAGAAAATAAGGGTCCAACATGATGGGACCAACAACTGGACGTCCTTCCAAAATTGATGAGAAGACAAAATGATAACTGGTCAGGGAGGCTGAGTCAAGAGGCACCAAAGGAGCTGCAGGAATTTCTGGCAAGAACTGGTTGTGTACTACATGTGACAATAATCTTCTGTATCCTCCATGTCTGGATTATGGGGTAGGGTCAGAAGATGGAAGCCTTTTGTTGCAAAGAAAAATATCCAAGCACGGCTAAATTTCACAAAAAATGCATCAAATCTCCCAGAACCATGTGGGAAAATGTGTTATGGGCTGATGTTACCAAGGATGAACTTTTTGGCCACAATTCCAAAAGTTTTATATTTGGCACAAAAACAACACTGCACATCACCAAAAGAACACCATACCCACGGTGAAGCATGGTGGTGGCAGCATCACGCTTTGGGGCTGTTTTTCTTCAGCTGGAACTGGACATGCTCATAGACTTGCACACTTATGCAACCAGCTTACTGTATGTTTATTTAATATTTATTTAACAGTTTTGTTTTTTCAATTGAATTGTACAGGTTTTAGGTCGCATTAAATGTGGGAAAAGCTTTAAAATGATTTATCATGGTCTCGTTTTTTTACATCACAAAAACCTGGCTTTTTAACAGGGGTGTGTACACTTTATATATCCACTGTATTTTATCTATCATCATTTAAGCCTCACAATGATTTTGGTATCATCGCCCAGTATTTTTCTTAAACATCTTTAATCTTGCCCCTCATATCTGTTTTTTCTTTCCTGTTTAAGTTGTCATTCCACATCCTTATGTTCCAGCAGTTAAGTAGCACCATATCCAAATTAGTCAATGAAAAGGTTAAGAAATTTGACCAGTTTTGATTTGGTTTGTGATAATTTAGAAGCCTTCAGTACTTCCTTTGTAACTTAATGTATTTTCTTTCATTTGCCCTGTTCTGTGATGTGTATAATGACCTTATCTGAACATTTTCTGTTTTGATTTCTGTTGTTTGCATCTTACTGTTTCATGACTGTAATATCTCTTATATGGAATGTGAGGAGTCAGTATCTGATTACTACCACAGGGTCATGCTATTAGAGACATGCCCAAAAATGGCTTCCAAAGTCATTTAGCTTATCGACATTATATGCAGTTAGAATGATGATAACTTACTCGGGCTTGCCGTTCTTCCTGTTTTAGTGTTTTCTATTTTAGTGTACTGCTCCTCGCTCCTTAAAGCTTTCTTCACATTTATTGTTAATTTATTGCAGGCAGTATTTAGAACTAGCTGTGACCATTTTATACTTCTCATTTTAGCAGAACAAGATGTTTTCATTTTCTTTTTTTCTGCAATTCTCTGGTCATTTTACCTTGCAAGCTGCCTAGAACACATTTTGGTGATACTGTAATGCTTGCATATCAGATTTTTTTGCAAATATGTTGCACTGTTCATTTTTAAGTGCATTTCCAAATTAAAAAAGACCGAGGGAATGTTTTGTTAACTTGCTCCTATGAACCTTCTGGAGTGGAGCAATGAATCATTTTTTCTAGAAGTTCCCTGCTTCAGAGTGGAGCTCCCTCATAGTTTCCTTCCAAGCTGTTGATGTCCTGTTAGCTCAGTGGCAGCCTGTCTCACCCACTGTGGATGCGGCCTGTGCATCCAGCTCCGCTTGTGAAAGCCAAAGGCCTGTTTGTTTTGACACGTCCCTGTTAATGATTAGAGGTCGCTAATGGTCTTCACTGTATGGCTCTGCTTACTGGGATGAAAGGCGTCTCACATATACTGTACAGTCAGGCGCAGTCTCTGGAGAATGGTGTCAGTCACATACACAGTCAGGCGCAGTCTCTGGAGAATGGTGTCAGTCACATACACAGTCAGGCGCAGTCTCTGGAGAATGGTGTCAGTCACATACACAGTCAGGCGCAGTCTCTGGTGAATGCCAGTATGTGCTGATGGACAAAATGTCGCTTCATGAACCATGTATGGTACTTTTAACCCCACAAGATGGTGCTCTCTGTTCAAAAAAGGGCAAAAAGCATGCCTCAAAGCCAACTGAAAACTCTGTCTAGTGGGGTCAAGAAATACAGCAAATGGTTCATGAAGTGTTATTTTGTCCATTACTACCAATATGCCACTCTGATCTATATTTGTATTTTGTGTATGTACTTTGTATAAAGTATTTTACATTGTATCCTAGCATGCTCACGAGCCATGTACATAGCCCTGTTGGTAATTGTTATTGTTAATATTTGTATTCCCGATTGTGGAGTGTGTGTTTGCCCATGTCTTGCATGAACCTTGTCCGATCCTTGCAAGTCTTTAGAGTTGTATAAATGACCCACCATGTGAGTTACCGTATTGTCTGGTGTCTAACCTCCCTGCCTTTCCTCTGTTGTATTTCATTCAGTGCTTGTTGGGTGCCTGTGATAGTTCATGTAAGGGCTACAATTAGTCTGTTCTTCCCCACAAGCAAGTCTCCTAGTCATTTGCCTTTTCCATGATGCCTCTGTCTGCCCGGCACTACAGTGATGTCAGAAGTGGGATGCCAGAAGCAACCCCATTAGCGCTGCTGGAGCAGTCACTCCTTACCACCATTCGGCAAGCCTGCTCCAGCCTGGAAGACCTTGAGGCAGCAGGAAAAAGAGCGACGTTTCTTAGGCCGAGGACAGCTCAGAAGAAGCTCATCTGCTGGTGCTGTAGAAGAAAAGGGCACCGGGCATTCTACTCCCCAGATAACCCGCATCAGAGTCACCGGCAGATGAGCAGAGGATGTCTGAACAAGGAAGGTGCCTCCTCATCTGGCTGAAGAGCCCCGGTCATGTGTAGCATGCCCTGATGTCGCCCTTGCCAGCCCTTCAGACCCCTGTCCTGCCACAGTGCCCCCGACCTGTACAGAGTGTCCTCAAGCCATTTGTGCCAGCTCACCGGACCCCTGTCAAAGATGTCAGCGACGAGGGAGGGCAAGAGCTCTCAAAGTGTCCGACAGCTCACTGAGCCGGTGAGGACTCCCAGCCCACCAACGGCAAGCATAACCACAGCAAGTTGAGGCTGCAGAGGTGATGCTGCTTGCCCATGAGGAGGTGTCCTGTGTTTTGGAGGCCCAGTTGGATCAGGAGTGACGTGGGAAGGACTAGCAGTGGGAGCAGAACAAAGAGCAGTTCTGCAAGGAGCAGGCCACCTGGGAACGCAAGCGTGCTCATGAGGAGGAGGTATGTTGCACATTGGAAGATCAGCTGGCCCAGGAGTGCAGTGAGCTGGCAGAACAACGGCGGTGGCTGCATGACTGCATGGAGCAGGAGAGGCAGGAGCTGGAGCAGATGCGTGGTGAACTGGCCAGTTGGGACCTGGAGTGCAACCTCCAGAAATGTCTGGCTGAGGCAGCAGAGGCAGCATTACATAGCCGAGAGATGGTACTGCTCAGCCAGGAGGACGCATGCCGTGGCTTGGAGGCCCAGAATGGCCCAGAAGCGCTGTGAGCTGCAGGAGGGGGCGGCTTACTTAAATGACTGCCTGGGGATGACTTCTGCTGGGAACACTTTCTGGCTGTGGAGTGCCAGAAGCTGATCGAGTATGCACCCCACTAATCGAGGAGACAGCCTGCTAGGGGTGGTGATGAGAGGCCACCCAGTGCAGAGACTCAGGGAGCAGGAGGGGCAGCAGGTCCCCTCTAACCTGCGTAAAGGAAAGGGTCGGCGGCCAGAGGGCACCTGCGATGCCAGCACCGCTGGGATTTGCGTATCCTAGCATGTTTTGCAAGTTATTTGCATAGCCCTGTTTGTGATTGTTAATACTTGTTGTATTCCGAATTGTGGATTGTGTGTTTGCCCATATCTTGCGTGAACCTTGTCCAACCCTCACATGTCTTTAGCATTTTATAAATTATCCACCATGTGTGAATTCTGCAGAATTTGGTTCGGTGCTCGCTGGGTGCCTTGATAATCCGAGTAAGGATTACAATAAAAGAGCCTGTTCTTCCACATAACATAAGAACATAAGAAATGTATAAACAAGAGAAGGCCATTCAGCCCATCAAGCTCGTTTGGGGAGAACTTACCTAGAGTAATAGCTCAATGTTGTTAAAATCTTATCTACAGGTAGGTCTGATTTAAAGGAATCCAGGGTTTTAGCTTGCGCTACACTAGCAGGAAGACTATTCCATACTCTAACTACACGCTGTGTAAAGAAGTGTTTTCTCAAATTCAGTTTAAAATGTTCTCCCACTAATTTCCACTTATGGCCACGGGTTCTAGTATTTAAACTAATATTGAAATAGCCATTTGGCTGAACAGCATTCAGACCCGTTAGAATCTTATATACCTGGATCATAGTCTCCTTTGCTCGAGGCTAAACAGATTCAGCTCAGCTAACATCTCTTCATAAGACATTCCTCTAAGGCCAGGAATCATTCTTGTAGCCCTACATTGCACCCTTTCCAATACAGCAATGTCATTTTTAAGGTATGGTGACCAAACCTGCACACAATATTCTAGGTGGGGTCTTACCAAGGAATTATATAAATGTAACATCACCTCCATTGACTTAAACTCCACACACCTAGAGATATAACCCAACATTCTATTGGCCTTTTTTATTGCTTCCCCACACTGGCGAGAGTGGGACATGGAAGCATCAACATACACACCAAGGTCTTTCTGATAATCAGCTACCTTTATTTCAGTGGAACGCATAAAATATCTGTACTTTATATTTCTGCTCCCTGCATGGATTACCTTACATTTATCTATGTTAAATTTCATCTGCCTGGTATTACCCTAGTCACTAATTAAATCAGGGTCCCGTTGTAGCCTCTGTGCTGCTAGATCATTTGCTGTTTCTGCGGTGCCTCAGTCTGCCCGGCACAACAGAATGAAACCTTTACGTAGCATTCTTTAAGAATTACTATCATTCCAAGGTTGTACAATAATTTCATATTTGTCATGAATCTTTGTCAAATTTACTACCATGTTCTTTTATAGACCATTCTGTCACTATCGAGTATCTCACAGTGATTTATCCATCCAACCAACTTCCAACGTATGTGGAGCCTATCACAGGCAGTTTATGGTGCAGTGTAAGGCAGCATCCTGTACAGCATGCAAGGCATAAACATGCATACACATGCACATGCTCACACACACCTTTACACTATGGACAATAGAGACAACAAATCACTGCACTGCATGGCTTTAGAGAGGGAGGAACCACAACACAGGGAGAGCAAGCAGGAGCACCAGGGTGCCAGTAGATATTACTGTAGAGCGATGAGAGGGCAAAGAATCCAGACTTTTCTGATGAAATAAGAACCAATTTTCATTCTCTGGGAATCTTAATCACAGCAAGCTGATGCAGCACAGTGGATTAGGGTGCTAGTTGTGTGCCCAGTGTGCTTTACAAAGTGCATGTTCTTCCCTTCTTCAGATTCCACAAAGAACCTAAAAGATGTGCTGGAGGAGTTTCATGGAGATGGTGTTCTTGCCAAATACAACCCCGAGCAGGTAATAGCTTCAAACAGTATACGTTTCATTACCTTCATGGGATGTTACATCATATAGGCACATTGGAGGAACACATCATTGAGTTTTAAGCTGTCCTTGATTAATCAATGGATTTATATATTCTCTTCACAGTTTGGGAATGGCTTTGGAATCATTAAGCTTGCTAAACTAATAACGAAATCTTACTGTGTAATTGTTCTTCATACAGTCTTTTTCCACATTATTGCCTTAATTAAATCTCATCCAGGGGCTATTGAGCTGCAATCAGAACCTGCAACCATCAATCCTAGCTGTCTTGGGATAATTAATGGTGGAACCATGGTATCACTGTTCATTTGAGAGCTATACTCTGCTCTTTGAAAGGAAGAGATGAAGCTATAGGATTCTTCTCACAATGCTTCTGAAGTATTGCCGATAAAGATTCAAAGTTCAAGGATTTTAAGAGTCCAAGAGTTCCTCTGTTGGCCTCACAATGTTTATGATAGGATTTTAATTCAAGCTATGCAGCAGCCCCTAACAGAGACAACCTCCTCTCCTTGCCCAGTACAGTATAACCCCCTTCTCCTCCTTTATGCCTCACCGGCAAACAGATGCAAGATGTTCTCAACCAAGTAAGCCGCTGGTGGATGCATGCCCTGTGAGTTTGTGTTTGCAGGTCGCATGTCCTCATAGAACCTCAGCGTTTCTCTCATTGCCACTGTGGAGAATAATGGCTTCACTGAGCCATCAGCTGCTGGCTAATCATTTCCCCAGCCCTAACCCTATCTATCCAATGTCTCCTTGTCGTTAGCCATGTGTTTCTCCAGTCTGTTCAACCAACTACCCATTTTGCAGCCTGGTGGCCAATGTTGGAGGAATATTGGAAGAACATTGCTCGCCAATGAAACTTTCTATTTGGACATGCTTACCTGACACTTAATTCTTTCAATATACATCCTCACGTTCATGATGTTGTATGCATACAGCCAGCATTTTCATTGCAATCTATAGCCTGTTAATGCTGCAGTGATAGATTTGCTTAAATGAAGCTTTTAATGACCGAAGTGTTCCAACTACCACTGAAAATGTATATTCTGTCTGTTCCTATAAAACATTTTGGTTGCTGTCGCAATGTTAAAACACACCACAGAGCCATTTTCTCAGGTATTTATATTTAAATAAAACAGTAGGATGCTACTTCAGACATGACATTCTTGACCTCCAGACTCCACAATGAGGTGCATTGTTTCACATATACTTTTATTTCACCATAAATCTCCCAGCAGCCTCTGCCCTTCATGTCCCACCTCTGCCTGCCCCCCTCCCCCCACAGCCCATCGACTATGAAGGCTTCCAGCTCTTCATGGCCACGTACCTTGAGAATGACATCCCTGAGGAATTGTGCCGGCACCTCTTCACTTCCTTCAAGAGCAAGACAGGAACAGCCCCATTTGAGGCTCCTCCTGCACGGGTCCTGGGTGAGTGACTGCTCCTCGGCACCTCCTACTGGCATCCTGTGGAAGTCTTTACATATGTAGAGAGGTGATGGAGCTTCCCTGTACTATGAAGGATTCTTGTTTTTTCCATATGATTTGTGTGCATGTTATTCATTAGCCTTCCTTTGTCCCAATATTCGCCCATCATTAAGGGCCTGAGAGGTGTTCCATGAAGCAGGAATTCTCATTAACTGGGTTACCTTAAGCTAGAAGTCATGATCGAGCCAATAAGTGTTTAGGTAAGGAGCACTCCTATCTGACAGTCAGGTCTTCCAGCTTAAGTTAACCCAGCTAACTGAGAAATCCTGCTTTGTGGAACACCCCTCTGATGTGTGAAGATATGTCAACACAAATCGTGTGTAAGAGTTGTAAAATGTTCAAACTTATGTCTTCTTCCGTACCTGTATGTTTGTATGCAGCCTTTTCACCAAGAAACTTTGCTGGGTTTCTACTCCAGCTGTCAACCCTAATAACTCAATGTAATATAGGGTCCAAATAAAGTAGCAATAGAAAGTGAGGAAGTTCAATGTGTAATGCGACTGGTTTCCACTACTGGTCCAGGGCAACGGATCTGTTTTGGGATGTTTTTGGGATGACACATCTCACATAGTCACCAGAGAGACGCCTGGCACAAAACAGCTTTTGTTTTGTTTTATCCTAAAACAATAAGGATACAGCTTGCCCAAGCAGAGGAATTTCCCATCCCAGAGGATTATGCGCCAAGGCACTGCACTCTGTCACATAGGATATGTCGGTTTTAAAACCGCATCATCCAGGACAAAAAACTGTTGTCTGTTCAGTCTGTGGCTCCATCTAGTGCTGAACTGGCAATAAACATGGTGGTTTCCATTTTTTATTTTATTAAATCATTTTATTGCAAGAATCTGTTATGTTCAGCTTTGTCCATTTGCAACAGAATATTTAATAACATAATATGTATTCATAATATGTATGCATATTACTTTTTTCTTATAAAAACAGGAATTTTTCAGGATGTTTATTGTCCTCTGACTGAATTATCCTTGCATAATACCAGAATGGTCTTTCATTTTTATATTTGATACCACATCCACAAAGTCCCACTGGAGAACGTGTCTCTGTATTATTGCTCCTGCCCATTAACTCGCAATCAATGAAAAATTTATGATGTTCTCTGCTCATTCCTTTTATTACTGCAACATGTCATTTGTTCTGTGTCACAGGGTCAGGCACCTTATGGTATTTTTTTTTGTTGCTTCCATTGTTACAGGTTTTTACAGTCCCCTAGAATCAGGCTTCACTCAGCTTGATGAAAAAAGGTTCCTTTAGTTTAAAATTTTTAAAACTAAAAATAAAAAAAGATGAAACAGGACACCAAAGAAGCCTGCCTATTAAGCACCCCCCCACTCATCCCCCGCCCCTCAGCTAATTTTCTATAATGGCATTAGCTCTTGTCTGCCCATGTTCATCTCCTCAGTAACTGTGTTCCTCACCCCATTCTTCATATCTAAACAATTTGATTGCAGAGTCCAAGACGATCGATGCTGGCATCTCCATACAGACTGAAGTGGCCTGCGCTGCTGTTACAGGTACACAAAAAGCTGTTCCATGATCTGCATCATCCTAATGGACATTTTACCCTACAGTGAAAACTAAATGAGATTTCCAGTTAACTGCAGCCTCCTGTCATTTCTTTCTTTCCTCCCTGTTCAGGAATGAATGGAAAGAGCATTCTAGCTGCCATGGGCCGTCACGTGTCTGAACAGGCAGCTATCGTGGCAATGGGTCCAGCACCTGCCACCTCCCAACCCTGTGGCACAGACACCCCCTTCTGGTCACCCAGCTGCCGAAACAAATCCCCAGGGGCTGAGAAAAACATCCCAACGGCTTCTAAGTTCAATGGCACCACATCCCTCCTGATGCCAGGTGAGACAGCAGTGAAGCATACTCTCAGTGATGGCTAAATGAAGTTTCCTGAACCATTTGCTATATTTTTTGACCCCACTAGATGGTGCTCTTGGCTTGCTTTGGGGCATGCTTTGAGCCCTTTTTTTGAACAGAGAGCACAATCTAGCTGGGTCAGAAAATACAGCAAGTACTGTAGTTCATGAAACTTCATTTGGCTATCACTACATGCTGCATTAAAAATGCCAGTTATAGTAGCTGTACACTGACACTGAAAAAGGCCTTCAGAATGTTTTGACTGTCCACCCGTATGTATGCAGTTACTGTAATTTTCACATACTGAGCATAGCTGAACTAAAATATTTGGTCACAAGATAAAATGGATTCTATGAGACCTGGGCCGGTATGCATAAAACTTCTCAGAGTAAAATTTCACTCTTAAATGCGTCACAATTCTAAGAGTGACGTGATTTTGCTCCTACTCCCAGACTTAAGAATAAGTGGCATAAACATTCTTAAGTGTTAAGACTTGGTCTCAGCTCCTAAATGATATAAGAGAGCTGGAGAGGACTCCTAAACCAGTTAGGAGTTGCACGATGGCAGCAGCACTATGCGCACAAAGATGGAGACCGCGCACTTTCCGTGAAAGAAAGGGCGTACTGCAGACATACGACAATAATGAATTGATAAAAAGGTACAAGCTCGATCATGAAGGCGTTCTTTTTGTTACCAACCTAATCAGGAACCGGATACAATCTCCTACGTCACCTAAAAATGCACTTACAGTTGAACTGAAGGTGATAATGATGCTACGTTTTTGGCAACTGGAAAAATATAATAATAATAATAATTATTATTATTATTATCATCATCATCTATTATAGCGAGGGTCATAAGAGCAATATAAGTAATGACACAAACCTGTACCTTGCATGCTTGCTTTATAAACTGTGATTTCCTTTCGCGAGTTTGATAAATCATTATACCACCTTTTTCCACATTCCGCTGCTGAACGCCTTGTCCGAGGTGTCACAGCACTTACGGAGCTTGCAATAGCCCCATAAGCTTTTTTTGTCCGTGTTTGTAACAGCTGGGCCAAACTTTCCTCGCACTACCGCCTTCCATTTAAGCACCAACTGTGCCAAAAGAACCGTTTTGTTTGTCGTCCAGTTTGATTTTCTTTTAGAATTCAATGTCTTGCTATGAGTTTTGCGTTTGACCCATAATTTATACAACATGTGCATCTATTAGTGGAAATTGATTGGTGGTGTGCTAGGTAGATTTTCGTACAACTAATTAAAGGTATGATCACAGAAAGGTATGTTGTATAAAGCTGTACATTAACGGTTTAACATCACTAATATGTTCACCGTGCAGCTTCTCTATTGGTTAAACTCGGTATTTGGGGCGGTATTTTATTTGTAGTCCTCATTTCACGACACTTAAATGCTGGCTCTGTCAGCACTTAGGAATTTGGGCTTAGACTTTGCTGAAAGTTACTTTTAGCAGCTTTATACAATGCTCTTAGGTCCTACTTTTTGCTAAGTTTTTTTTTACTCTTAAGTCTAAGTGTACGACCATTCTTAAGACCATTCTTAGGAAGTTTTATGCATACCGGCCCTGATTTAGGTCATAACTCAATTTTGATTAGAGATGGTGTGGCAGCGTAGCTCGCTGTGTTTGGGAGTTTCCAAATGTTACTGTAGAGTCGTACAGCCAACCATGGTCAAGCTCCCGCTGTGTTCCTGTTGCTTATGTGCATATACTGTACCAGTAGTCCTCTAGTGTGTTTTCACCCACAGAACAGAGCCAGACGGAAAAGCCCCCGTCCCAGAGCGGGAGCCCTTCGTCACAAAAGGACACCACTGTGTCCGCACCCCAGGTGGTCTTCCTGAAGGACATTGTGTGCTACCTGTCCTTGCTGGAGAGAGGGACACCAGAAGACAAACTGGAGTGTATGTCATGGGGGGGTTACTGGGTAGGGTTAGCCCTGTTAAGCTCACCTCTGTGTGTCTAATACCTTGAGGTCGAAAGTTCAAGTCCAGAAAGTAAAAATCCAGACCAATATTTTGTTCCAACCAACCAGTTGAGTACTCTGTGAATGTGACTCTTTATACTAACTTGCTGGTTGAAACAGCATTTTGGTATGGATTTTTGCTTTCTTTGTCTTAGGGCTCTGTTTACCAGATGATAACACTGTCATAACACACCAANACAAACTGGAGTGTATGTCATGGGGGGGTTACTGGGTAGGGTTAGCCCTGTTAAGCTCACCTCTGTGTGTCTAATACCTTGAGGTCGAAAGTTCAGATCCAGAGAGTAAAAATCCTGACCAAGGTTTTATTTCAACCAGCCAGTTCAGAATCTGTGAATGTGACTCTTTATACTCAACTTGCTGGTTGAAACAGCATTTTGGTATGGATTTTTGCTTTCTTTGTCTTAGGGCTCTGTTTACCAGATGATAACACTGTCATAACACACCAACATCTCCCTTGCCAAGTAAATACTGGGCAGGTCCATTTGAGACTGCTGGTCAATGCTGTTGCCTGATGTGATAGACTAATGTCTCCTTCTCTATCCCCTCTGCCAGTCATGTTCCGGCTCTACGACACGGACGGCAATGGTCTGCTTGACAGCTCAGTGAGTAGAGGCTCGGCCCTTGGAAAGCCAGACAGTGCCTGATTTACGTCTCTGGAAAAAAATAAAGATTGTACTTTCGGGATTCATATTTTAATGGCGTCGTTACAATGTGGTCGCAGTGTCATGCCAACATTATGTGATCAATGTTTGGTCCATGATGTCCAAGAGGTTATTAGATGCAGTGATGCCAGCCTGTTATAGGAGGCAGATGTTTCATAGATTCATAATACTCTGGGGAACAATGGAGATGGGACGTTGATGAGGTCATTAGCAGACATGATGTCATGGCCTTGGAGAAACCTTCTGGAGCATACAGTCTGATAATAAGGCCATCTAGCAATACCCTCTGGCTTGTCAAAGAGGTGTCTGATAGAGCCCTGCCTGCACAGGAGCTGGATCGCATCATCAACCAGATGGTCCATGTGGCAGAATACCTGGAGTGGGACTCCACTGAGCTGCGGCCGGTGAGGAAATTCCTGGTGTCTGTGTCAGTGTGTTTGTCTCTGTCTCTGGGTGTGTGTGTCACTGTATATGCCTGTGTGTTTGGTGTGCGTGTGTGTGTGTCTGTCTGTCTGTAGGTGTCTGTCTGTGTCACTGTGTTTGTCTCTGTCTCTGGGTGTGTGTGCGTGTATGTGTGTGTGTCACTGTGTATGCCTGTGTGTCTGGTGTGCGTGTGTGTGTCTGTCTGTGGGTGTCTGTCTGTGTCTGTGTGTTTGTCTGTAGGCGTGTGTCTGTGCATGTCACTGTGTATTCCTGTGTGTCTGGTGTGTGTGTGTGTGTGTCTGTCTGTCTGTCTGTAGGTGTCTGTGTGTGTCTGTGTGTGTCTGTGTGTGTCTGTCTGTCTGTGTCACTGTGTATGCCTGTGTGTTTGGTGTGTGTGTGTCTGTCTGTGGGTGTCTGTGTGTGTCTGGTGTGTATCTCTGTGTGAGCGTCTGTGTGTGTCTGTGGGTGTCTATGCATGTGTCTGTGTCTATGTTTATGTGTGGTGTGTGTCTGTCTTTCTGTGTGTGTCTATCTGGTGTATGTGCATGTGTCTGTGTGTGTCTGTGTTTCTGTGTGGTGTCTCTGTGTGGTGTCGATGTAATGTCTGTCTTTGTGTGCCTTTGTGTCTGTCTCTTTCTGTGTCCGTCTGTGTGTGTGTGTGTGTGTGTTTGCATAGATCACATTTGAGGACCAGATTGTCCCCAAAGTGTAGTAAAACCTGAAATTTCCCTACTTTTGGGGACATCTTTTGAGGTCCCCATTTGGATAACCTCAGTTTTATAAAAATCTGTGAATGCAATCAAAAAAGTAAAAATACCGAAAGTCTTGTATTTAGGTTGGTTACTTATGGTTAAGGTTAGGAATGGGTAGGGGTTAAGGGTGTCGTGAATGGGATTAGGGTTTTTCCTATAGAAATGAATGGGACCGTCCCCATTTAGATAGGAAGACCAACTTGTATGTGTGTGTGTTTGTGTATGTCAGATTCCTTTTAAGTAAGAATTATTAGTTTATCTCCTAAGCCATTTCCTACATGTCCTTTGATCAGAATTTGCTTTGTATCTGTGCAAGGAGAGGAAACAAGTTTGCATAAATGCTGGAATCCCAAATGTCTAGTCTTTGTCTCTCTGTAGATCCTGAAGGAAATGATGGAGGAGATTGACTACGACCATGATGGGACCGTGACGCTGGAGGAGTGGATCAGAGGAGGCATGACCACCATCCCATTGCTGGTGTTGCTTGGAATGGAGACAGTGAGTGGACATTTGGGCTCGGGGCCTTCTCATCGTCTCGAAGAATTATGTGATTCTGATTAGTGACTAATAGTATAGATATATCACTGTCTTTACAGAACATGCAGGAGGATGGTCAGCATGTATGGAGACTCAAGCACTTCAACAAGCCAGCATACTGTAACTACTGCCACACCATGCTGCTGGGGGTGCGCAAGCAGGGCCTCAGCTGCTCCTGTGAGTTGCCCTGGGGAGGGCACTCTTCAGTATCGTTTATAAGCCTGTCCACTGTTCGTTGCTTTGGTTAAAGGCGTAAGATAGATAAATCAATGTCATGTAAATGGTGACGCAATATCCAAGCACACTGTATCCAATTCACAGGAAGTGTAAATTTGTTACAACCCGATTCTGTGTTTTAATTTTTTAGAAACCTATGCATGATTTATCATGGGATCGGTATTTTTAAGCTCTACTCAGGACAACCATTGCTGATGAGCACTGTTACACTATGGTGTACATTTTCTCATATTCATATAAATATTATCAATTCCTTAGTATTGACCGTATACACTAATGTAGATACATGCCTTGTAAATAACCCCAACCCCCAAAATATTATACATTTTTGATTTATTATGTGCAGTATGTTCCTCTGTAACACGTGTAGGCCTGTCACGATAACAAATTTTGCTGGACGATAAATTGTCCAAGAAATTATCGCGATAAACGATAATATTGTCGATCTGAGACCATTTTCATCTAGAATAATAATGGCATAATAATGCACATACGCCTTTCAAAATT